AAAAAAAAAACCATATATAATTTTACATAGACTGAAATGAATATTTACCTTTAGGATTAATTTTTACACCAGCTTTTCCACCACCGAATGGTACATCGACACAAGCACATTTATATGTCATTAATGCAGCCAGAGCTTTAACTTCATCTAAATTAACATCTAATGAATAACGTATACCACCTTTACATGGTGTACGATGTTGTGAATGTTGTGCACGATATGCTTCAATCATATGTAATTCTCCATTATCTTTTCGAATAGGAAAACGAATTTCGAGAACATGATTACATGGCTTAATAATTTTTAATATTCCTCGAACTTTTTTACGTTTTAAATCATCAGATAATTTAGATTTATGCATATCATTAACTAATTTTTCTTCAAGAATTTTTGCAGCACGATCATAAAATAGTTCAACTTGACGATAGAAACCAAAATGCCCTGGTCCAGCTTGTTGAGGTTGTGTTGTTGTTGCCGCATGAGAAGATAAACGTATTATTGAACATGTTGAGATTTGATATAATGATTGATTATTACGTAATGTTGCTTTCAACATTTTCGTTTGATATTAAATCTAAAAGTACATTCATAAAGATTTGGATTGGTCATATTAAATTAAATTCGGAAAAACTAAAAAAAACTATACAACAAACAAATTTTATATTCCGATGTAACTATCTGATTGCTGATCTTCCATATTAAACACCAAAGGTCATACCAGCACTAACATAAACATTATAAATTTTTTCTAATGCAGTTACATAAGCAGCTGTACGTATATCTAAACCCAAATTAAATTTTTGAGCTGTTTCCATAATAGCACGTGCAGATTTTTCCATTGTTTGTTCAAGACCAGAATGTACGATGTCTTTTTCTGATGCACCGGCCATACGTTTAAAAAATTGATCACTTGGAATCTAGAATCAAATATATATTTGATTTTATTCATTCAATTGATCTGCTTACAATAGGAATTTGTCCTCCCATTTTACCAAATTTAGCTTCTAATGAACTTTGAACACTTTCTAAATAGAACAAACAATTCAAAAAAACAAACAAACAAATAAATTCTACCAAGAAGTGAATAATTTGTATCTCGTTGATATTTAAATGTTAATCGACCATATGATGTATGATTTAAATTTTTAAGCCATTCAAAATATGAGACAGTTACACCACCAGCATTCTTTAGAAAAATAAATTTTAGTTTATCAATGTTGTTTTTACTTGTTAAAATATTATATACGTACAACATACATATCTGGAATAACTAAGACATTTTTTTTAAGAAGTATTCTATCTGCTGCTGGTGTTGTTGGTCCATTGGCACCTTCAGCAATAATCTTAGCTTTGATACGATGAGCATTTTTCGATGTAATTTGTTGTTCACTTGCTGCTGGTACAAGAATATCACATTGTTCACAAAGTAATTCTTGTTTGTCAGATTTTTCATATGGTTTAGCACCGGGAAAGCCAACAATAGTTCCACGTTCAGATTTATATTCTTCAAGTGCTTTTGGATCAATACCATCTGGATTAACAATAGCTCCGTCCCATTCAAGTATTCCAACACATTTTGCACCATGTCGAGTTAAATAACGCATAGAATGATAACCAACATTACCAGCACCCTAAAAATGAATTAAATCAAAGTTTTCTTTTATTTCTTTTTTCATATTTTAATTACTTGAACAATAAATGTTTTTCCAGCAAGACCTGTTGTCAAACCAACTTTATCCATATAATATTTTTCATTCATAAAATTATTCACACCGTGATATAAACCACGACCAGTAGCTGATGTTCGACCATGAATACCACCTTGTAAAATAGGTTTACCAGTTATGCAAGCCATTGCATTAATATCTTCCCAACCGACTGTTGATGCATATGTATCAGCAATCCAAGCCATTTCACGTTC